AAAACATGATCTGCAGTACAGAAAATGGAAGGGAAAACAGTGAAATAACGCTCATCAGCTTCCTAATACAGGAAAGAAATTCTAGGTCAAAAAGCATGAACTCTGAATTCCTGAATCTGAATTTCGTAAGAACTCAGTACCATTATTCGTAGCTTATATATTATGAGGTTCTTCGCTCCCCAAGAACCCAAGAGTCGTGCCATGTCAGCCTTTCTGACCTGTGGTCTGCGCAATTTCTCAACCTTTATAGCTCTCAAGGTACTCTCTCCAGAGGTCGAGCCCGGAATGCGCCCGCCCAACCGAACGCCGATGTTATACTCGGTAAAGAGCAGCTGTACGATATGTTTCAACAAGTGCTTGGTGTGAAAAAATTCGAACATCAAATCATTTTCAACGCACTTCAGGTAGGTTGCAATTATTTCTCACAATCTTTTTTTATTATATTATATAAATCTTTTCCATTTTCTTCAATTCACTGCATACCCATCTGCAATTGGCCGTGTTGGGGGAAACGGTATTTATTTCTACTCAATAAATTACAGCTTGACAACCCCGATGAACAAGCGGCAGCGATTCGACGTGAGGTCGCAACGAGAGAAGATGCCTGTCGAGAGATTCATAAGGTTTCCTTTCATTTTATTTTTGTTTTTTTTATTTCGTATTTTTATTGTTTTTGCTGACTACTTCTTACCACAACATTTCCATTATTTTGGGAAAGAAATTTCTTGGATAGAATTGGATCACGTAATATTCCAACAAGCCATCCCACTCATTTTTCTGGCTTATTGGCGAATCGTCACAAAGTTGCTAAAGCAAATTTACCTTTACCAGTGTGATCTCATTTGTAATACTAGACAGGTGGAGACAGGGAATGTGTCAGGAGGTCCACAATTTGGGGATATCGACCAAAGGCTTCTTGATCCGAGATTTGACGCGAGCACGACTTTGCTGCGAGAGTTACCGTATCTAATCAGAGTTAAATCCGTCGCGTTGAGTGCTGTCCAGATTTACGACATGTTAAAAGCTTCCGAGTGTTATTATATAACTTTCTGGATGGCCTTATCAGGGGTGGGGGAGGGGAGGAGCTTTCTGGTACGTAGCGTCTACATTCAGCGGTATCTCAAACTTTGGTTAGAGTGATGAGCGTCAGGATGGATAATGCCATATAAAAATTAAGACTCGCTAAAATATTCGATGAAAAATAACAAAAAAAAAGACCAGCGATCAAAACTCGTTCTCGTTTTTTCGTCATGCCCTCACAGCCACGTCTATTGGACGCATGAAAAAATAATCCAATCCAATAAATAAAAAAT